TGTTATTTTTCAAATTCAGAATTGTTCGGATAAGTGAATCTATGTGTTTTGAACAGTTCTGATGATATTTTTTTTGTTTTCAGAATTGTTTAAATTTTATATTTATGTCAAAGGTTACAATATACGTTCGGGGCTAAAAGAGCACCAAGTCATCGGGGCTACTAAGTGAAACCACCTAACCTCGATTTTTTATTCATATTATTTATTCAATATTTTTACTATAATATATAAGCAAATTCAAGATTATAATGAAATCAAACATACTTCATAGGATTGTTTTATAATGTAAAATTTAAAAAATATATAATTACAAAAATTTTTTCTTTAATTAGTTATTAAGTTGACGTTGGAAAGACATAAAATTAATATCACACGCATTTGCTGTTTTTTTTACAGACAGGTGGTCATCTTTAACTTCCTTTGCTCTGTCGCACGTTTCTACATTTATAGATTCTTTGTTGTCTTTTTTTTTGTAAGGTTGCACCATTCCAGAGACTTTTATATCTAGACTGCTGACTCAATATGATAGAAAAAGATAAACCTGATTCCGAATTGTTCATGCTTCTCAATCAATTCACTTATGTATATGCGTCCTGTCTACGAATATCATAAATTTATGTGAAAAAAAAACACTAATGTTATTATCCGTGTGATTTATACGAGTATATGTGAAAGCGAGTGACTACAAATATGATGCTGCCCAGCACAATCTTTAAATATGGAGTACGAAGTCGGCAATCTATTTACAGAAATTTGTGCATCATTCTGTAGAAGAAAAAGAATTGTTTTCAACGGGATAAGTTGTTACACTGTAACAACCTGCCCCGAGAAGTGTAACAACTTGCCCCAACCATCAATTTGGAAAAATACAGACCGAAAACCAATACATCCACAAACCAATATATCTATTCAAATAAAATGTGTTATTATAGTTGAATGTATTATAAAAGAAATATACAAAAGGATAATCTCAATAAGAGGACATACCTCTAACTTATATATATATATATATACATTAACACAATCGATTTATACAATAAAATATTTACTTTTAATAGTGAAAATCAAGAAAACATACGTAGCGTCTTCTAGAGTTCAAGTATTGTATGAAAGTTAAACTAAGTGAAGTCGTAGAGTATCATAAGAATTACATATAAAAATTCATAAAAATACGTTGCCACTAAAAAAATTAACTGTAATAACTTGCCTCGGTCTCCCCTAAATAAATTCCCTTACTTCTCACAAAAGAGTATTTTACTTTTGTGAGTCTCCTTGTCTCTTTGAAAATCCTAACACGCTTCTTGGAATTAGAAAATAAAATAAAATTTTTTTGCAAGATGTTTTATATTATAATAGTATTTTTTAACGAAATATTACAAAATATAATACTTTTTTCGTGATATTATCGATATTATCGATACATACATTATACATGCACGTGCGTATGTGTAATATTTAAAGAAAGATTACATTATAATTCATATATATTGCTTGCGATCTTCAGCATCTGTTATTCGCTGACACTCTAAATTGGATCCGTTCTGTCTTCTATAGTCTGCATTATTTTCGAAAAGTTCAGAATAGAACATATGTATGTAAACGATGATTGACTTGATGAAATTTAAAGCTTATGCATCTGAATTGAATAAAAAAGATTTAGTTATGTTTTTCATTAAAATTGTGATATATGTATATGTTACGTCCAAACTCCGGAAAAGTGGATTTAGAGAGAGAGAGAAGGGAGTAGAAAAGGATGGAGCGTGGAAGGACGGTCAGACTCTAGTCTCACAGATATTTGCCTGGAAACAAACACCGGCGAGTCGAACGCACCCTTTTTTTTTGTCCGCTTCGGAATATGGGTCAACGTCTCGTGAAGACGCTATGACGCCTGTTTCCTACGGGCGGTGCGATCGTCGGTCCGAATTTCGAGTCAAGGAAAAATCCCTTTAACTCGGGAATGGACCACGTGCGAGCTTTGAAAG